TTCATTTTTTATATCTATTATTTCTATTTTTTAAACTAAGACTAATCTTTAAAAAAGGAAAAAAGAAATGACGATGGAGGTAGAAAGTAATTTAAAAAATTTAAATGAAAAATTTAAAAAAAATAAAAAAAATGAAAATTCATCAAAAATAATCCCAACTTTCTTTTTGTTGCCTAAAATGGGCATTTCCGTTAACCCTCCGTTAGAAACTTAACGGCGACTCAAAACTGACAAATTTCAGTAAAGTTGGGATTATTATGCATCACAGTGAAAGGTGGGATTATTTTTGAAAGACCGGGTAAAGTTGGGATTATTTTGGGNAAAAAGAAATGACGATGGAGGTAGAAAGTAATTTAAAAAATTTAAATGAAAAATTTAAAAAAAATAAAAAAAATGAAAATTCATCAAAAATAATCCCAACTTTCTTTTTGTTGCCTAAAATGGGCATTTCCGTTAACCCTCCGTTAGAAACTTAACGGCGACTCAAAACTGACAAATTTCAGTAAAGTTGGGATTATTATGCATCGCAGTGAAAGGTGGGATTATTTTTGAAAGACCGGGTAAAGTTGGGATTATTTTGGGTAATTTTTCCTTATTTTTAAAGTATAAATGTTGTGACTAGGGCTGGGTTGGGAAAACCAAAAACCGCAACCGAACCGAAATCGATCGAAACGAGCTAGAAAACAACCGAATTGAAAAAACCGAAACCAAATGTAAATAAACCGAACCGAACCGTTAGTGTTTGGTTCCGTTTTGGTTTTCACTTTGAAAAATCGAACCGAATAAACCGAACTTTCTTAGATACTTCGCTTTTTCTATATGAATATATGTGATATGTAGAAAAATCATAGAAATATAAATGCAATTAAATTACTAGTCGATTAAAATTATTTTCTTAACTATTAATTACACATTTTAGTCATACTATTATAAACTTTTAAAAAATCTAAGAATATAAACACAGATAGCTAATCCAAATATAGAATTATATTAACATTAAATATTGATACGAGTAATTTACATATTTACATAAAAAATACTTTGATGTTATAATGAAAATGAAAGTATTATATTAAAAACACAAATTCTTCGTAATTAATTTTACATACGATGTCTTTGGAAGTATTTGGAATCTCCTAAATGTTTGTTGGGTACTCAACACATAATTTTTTTATGTAAAATTGAACCGAATGATACAATAACCTTCCGTTTGATTTTTGTTTTTGTGTAGAACTCAAACCAAAAAACCAAACCTAATACAACATATTGTTATTGCTCCATCGAGTTAGTGTTTTTACAATTTTTAATGCTTATAAATTTCTACTTTTATAAACCGAAAAAACTGAAAAAAACCAAAATAAAAACAGTATAAAACCGAACCGAATAACCAACGGTTTACATATTTTTTATGCAAAACCGAACCGAACTGCCAATTTACCTTCCGTTTTGTCTTTGGTTTTGGGTGAAAACCGAACCGCAAAAACCGAACCTACCCCTAATTGTGACCGTCATCCCAACCGATTCTTACGAAACTGTTAGGTATCAACTATCAAAGTCATGCTACACTTACACCAAAAATTATACCACATTTGTACACTACAGTTATACACAAACATTTTGATGGGTTACACTGACACAAGTGTTGGTGTGTTAAAAAAAATTTACACGAACACAAAGTATTGGTGCATTAACAAAAATTTGTTTAACACCAACACAAAATGTCAGTGCAAACCTGCGGTGTACAGGATACAAAAGTTTGGGGTATAAATAGTGTTGTCCAAATATATATTGGATGACTGCTATACAAAAAGTACTCCGTCGACAGAGCTATAAAACGAACGAATAATTTTGATTCAATTCGGGATTCGTGTGTAAAAAATAATTACGACAAAGAATATAAATATTTATTGGAATTTTAAAAAATATGAATATGAATGTATACACATTCCATTCAATATGTTAATGAATATATTGGAATATAAATATAAAAGTTTATGCCCAGTTCATAATAAATAACGAGCATAATATAAAGAATACTCTGTATATTTGTGCTTTTGTTTTTTTAGTGCATTACCTCGTTGATACTAAATAGTACACATTTAGCTTTTGACATCATTTGAAAAAGTACTTAAATAATTTTAAATGAATGTGTAAATATGAATTTAAATATGGAGTACTTGATAAGAAGGCCCAATACCATAAGTTCATTCTCCATAAAACCTAATCACTAATTTATTACTAAAAATTAAAGTGTGGATAAGAATTTTGTTGGTAGAGATGTGTTGGGGTATGATGGAAATCCAAGAAGACTGTTAACGCTCCATAACAACTTTATAAGAAATGGTATATGAATGAACGTGAAGAAACGTGATAGACTAAACAAATTGTGTGATCACTTTGAGACTAAAATAATTTTGGGGTATACTAAAATATTTCATTCGAATAAGACGTTAGTATCTAGAATAAGTATGGAAGTTCTGTCATTTTTTAATCATAGAGTGAGACTCCATATTTGTAGAGTACAAATTGATCAGACGCGTCTGTTGATAAAAAACACAACTTTACATAGAAAATTTGAATGTATGCACCCGTTATGGATAAACATTACGTTTCACCAGTTTTCTAAGCAAATCATTGCGTTCATGAAACAGTTGAATGTTTAAGAGTAAATATTCAAATATATGTGTTCCTTCCATAGAGTGTTGGAAGTTAACACTAACATGATCCTTACATTCAAATATTTCTTATTTTGACTCCTCCCAGTCTGCCCCTTGGACCCGACCAAGGGCTGCCGCCCCTTAGACCCTACTACAAATTTGTAATATCATTCAACAACCATGCATCCGCACCACCTAACTCGTTAACAAGGCCTATTAAAATTCTTGTCTGATCTAAGAAAATTCAATTGCATAAAATAGCCAATGAGACTAAAATTACCAACAATCCTCCCCTATTTGAGTGACACCTTGATATTCAAATATTTGGAACGTGCAATATACATAGATGGAAATTCAACCGCCCTTGATATGGAGAACGATGCATGCAAGTGGCGAAGATGAGCAATTGTGAAGAGAAGCTGCGAGACACACTATCGAGCGTTGAACATGAAAGTTTCACTACTCTCAGCGTACAACCTGTAAAAGTCTAGAGCTCTGCAGGTTGTGACAAAGGATGTTGTAGCACTGATTAAAACTAAGTTATCAGACAGAGTGCTACACCAACCTAACTATCACTTAAGTAAACAATTAAGAATAGAGAGAAACAGCACACAACACACAAATTGTTTACGCAGTTCGAAGCAAATTCTTCTATGTCTGCGAGGCCCACGTCAGTGTAACAGCCTTCCCACTATATCAAATCAGAGTTTACACTCTCAATGTCAATAGACTCGATCTACTCATTGATCTAAACTCTACAACTCAATGGGAATGCAACAACTCGGTTTATGCATGCATGCCGAGACTGAAACACTTATAAACTTATCCGTGACATGTTCCTAGGCTACGCTCCAGTACTTCTCAGTTCAACTGTCTGGAATGCACGTTAATCTTCCTGCAGAAGCATTCTTTTGCAGTCTAGCAATAATCAATCCTTCGATTTGCTTGGCTGTGATTCTTTGTTCTGTGAAACTTTCTCTTCACGAATTTTCTCAGAGTATGTGCACGCTGTGCATAATCAGGTCTCCCTTTATTTATACTTTTCCAAGGCGAGATCAACCCTAGTAGAGTCCTGGTACAATTCTGACTACAAAGCATAGTTATCCAGTAGAGTCCTTGATGTGATCTCCCTCCAATTTCGCATAGTTATCCAGTAGAGTCCTTGGTGTGATCTCCCTCCATTTCGCACATTTCCATACTTCAACGAATGTTAGAAATTATAGTGTATAAGGTAACGGCTAATTTCAGAGTCCTCCTTTGGCTTGGTAAGAAACAGTCCCAAATTCACTTGGCCTATGAGGGTGACGGACAGGATGCTACACTTCTACGAACCACACACAGCTAGGGCATAGATAAATACTATAAACTATTGCACATGGTTTTTGTCAAAAATAAAGCCAACACCAAAATGATACTAAGACACAGCAGGGGAACCAACAATCACCCCCTTTGGCAATTTTTGACAAAAACCACTACTTAGCCGTGTTGAACCTCTTCTCCCCCTTTTTTGTACAAAAATGCCAAGGTTTCTTTTTAAAAGAAATGGGGCAAACGATGAAGAGTAATATTCAACCGATCAAGAGCAGGTACAATGTGACATATAACAACTTAAGAGTGTGGTATAGAACTGTACGTACATCACGTCACTTAGCCAACAAGAAGCACCATATGAGTAAGAGTAGAGCAAATAAGCACATATTGGCAAGAATATCAAGAAAGTAAAAAAGAAATCCAGCAGCAACAAATTCCAAACAGAAAACCAGAATCCAAGATCACAGCATAATGGAGCAAAAGTTTACTCTAGAAATCCCAGAGGCAGAACAACCTCAACACAAAAACAAAGTGAAAAATAGAGTTTGTGTGACCAGAATCGCATCAATTTGAGTCATCCTCCTCACTCTCCCCCTCAGACTGATCCTCCTCTTCCTCATCATGAGTGCTCCGAGTTTCCTCCTCTCCCTCTGTTTCTGTGTGCTCCACATCTGGAGTTGCTTCCCTTGCTTGGCGTAACAAGGACACAATATTACCTTTCTGTGTCTCCAGATTGGCTTTTAGCTGTGAACACCTGTCTAACTCCTCTTTGACCTGCATCAGTTTCTGCTCCAAAAATTTCACCAAGGAGGGTGCCTTTTTGGCTTTTGGAGTTGATGGACCAGCAACCTCCATGTCATTATGATGTTTTCACTCCTTGTGCCTGTTGTCCACCTGAAGTGGTGGTTCTTCTAGCTCTTCCTCCTCCTCTTCCTCTTTGCTGAAGCCCTAAGAGAGCAGAAGACTGTAGAGGAGTGTTGGGTAAGGCAGTCCAATGGAGTTGACCTTGTATTTTTCAGCTGCAAAGAGCATTATCTGATCAAAGATTAATTTTCCTAGGTCAAAGGGAATGTTATGCTTGATCTTGTATAGGAGCCTGGTCATAATCTTAGAGACAGTGTTTGTATGTGTGGTAGGAAGCCAATGAAGGGCAGCAACTCACAGTAGAACAACATATGAACTTTTTAAAATAGAGGAGTAAACTTTAGCTTTGCTAGACTGAAAGGCCCTTTTACCATTTGTGAGGTCTAGCCACATGTTCTTTTCTAAGATTGGGGTGTCCTTTTAGCAGGGAGTGAGGTTGAGAAGAGTATTGATGAGAGCTGGAGAGATATTATAGGTTTTGCCACACAAAAACACTTAATGGAACAGTGGGTCAGTAGGATTAGCACATGACTCGGACAAATTGCAGTAAAATTCACAGATAACTGATTTAACAAATGAACCTTGAAGGGTGAAAGATTTTAGCAATTTGGATTGTTCAAGAAGAGGAATCAGATTGGTCTTAAGTTGAAAGTCTTCCACATCAATTCTCCTTTGAACAATAATGAATTTTTTGTTCACATTACTGAAAAAAGACTTTGCTTTTGAAGAAACAAAGCGAGTGTGAGGAGACTTTCTTGATTTCAACACTAGAGTGACTTTTGTTCTAGAGCCCATAGGAGATGAAGGTGGTGGCTGCTTCTTCTGGGGTGGTTCCTTTGAATTTGAATCTTCTTCCAGTTTCATTTTTCGCTTGGATCTGTGTTGAGGGACTGAGATGTGGTTTGCTTTCTTCTTGCTTTTCTTCACTTCAGATTCTTTTTGGAACGGGACTTCTGAAACTGCAACGAGAGGTTCTTCATCAAGAATTTTGATGAACTCATCGTGTTCTTGTGCTGGTTCATCTGGTGAGGGCTTGCTTATGGTTGGTGCTGGGCCTGGCTTCTGCACTTCAGTGGTGCCAACTTCCTCTTGTGGTTTGTGGTATTCAAGGTAAAACACCTGTGGTAGATCTGTAACTGGATGAAGTGCTACATCCTCTTCTTCCTGCTGCATGTGGTCAATCTCTTTTGGAATCCTTTGTTTCTCTGCCTTCTTCCTATCTTCTCATATTTCTTGATGTTTCTAGCGTGCTTGGCATTATTTCTTGAACCATGAGGGCTGATTTTTCGAAACACTCGTGCGATTGAATTTCTGTGGCAGGGCAATCTTGCTTCGCACCATGGTGGCTGGCAGGTTTCTTGGAGAGAGATTCGGAATGAGGATGACGATCAATGTGGATGAGAATGGCTAAGCAAATCTGATTTTCTTCTTTTGTGAGATTTTTGAGACAGCAGATGTGCGTCACTTCGTGTCTCGAGTACAAGAGCCGTCTGAAATTTTTTGAGAGACGTGATTCATAAAGACGCAAGTATTGAAGAGGCGTGCACATGATTATTATTATTATTATTTTAAGTAGGATTGGAAGTCCTAGCATATGACATGGCGTGTACATTCTCAGCTGGCTTTCATGTGTCCACGTGTCAAGCTTCCAAGCTTAGAATGGTGCACAAAGCCCCAGATTTGACCTGAGCTTCTCAAATCTATTCCCATCCAGTGCCTTAGTAAAGATGTTTGCAAGTTGTTCCTCTGTTGGAATATGTTCCAAAATTACTGTCTTATTTTTTACCAGTTCACGTATGAAGTGATGCTTTATATCAATGTGCTTTGTACGCGAGTGTAAGACAGGGTTCTCTGAAATACTGATTGCACTTGTGTTATCACAGTAAAGTGGTATCGTGCCATGACCGATCCCATATTCTGCTAATATTGACTTCATTCATAATAATTGTGCGTAACAGCTACCAGCGGCTATATACTCTGCTTCAGCAGTTGACAGAGACATTGAGTTTTGTTTCTTGCTCAACCAGCTTACCAGATTTCCACCAAGAAGGAAGCATCCTCCCGAGGTACTTTTTCTATCATCTATGTTTCCAGCCCAATCAGCATCACTGTAACCTGTGAGGTTTGCTGTGCAACCTTTGACGTACCACAACCCTAGATTTATGATTCTTTTGATTGCCTTGAGATGTGATTCTTTTGGATGGGCTTGATATCTGGCACACACTCCTACACATTAGCATATATCTGGTCTGGTGGCTGTTAGGTATAGTAGACTTCCTATCATCCCTCTGTACTTGGTAGGATCAACGTCCTTACCTTGGTCATCTCTGCTGATTTTCTCATGCGTTGGACAGGGTGTTCGAGCACTTTTATAGTCACTCATGTCAAATTTCTTCAGCATATTCTGAGCATTCTTTGTTTGAGAGATAAATATTCCTTCTGTTGTTTGTTTGATTTGTAGACCCAAAGAGAATGTTAGTTCACCTATCATGCTCATTTCAAACTCTATTTCCATGATCTTGACAAACTGGTCTACCTGTGTCTTTGACGTTGATCCAAACACAATATCATCAACATATATTTGTGCTATTAGGATGTCTGAGTCATACCTTTTGTAGAACATGGTGTTGTCAGCACCTCCTCTCTCGTATCTTTCTCTTAATAGATATGTTGTCAGTCTTTCATACCATGCTCGAGGTGCTTGTTTCAGTCCATAAAGAGCCGTCCTTAGCTTGTACACATGTTTAGGATGTTTTTGATAAACAAAACCCTTGGGCTGAGCAACGTAAACTTCTTCTTTTAGATAGCCATTTAAGAAGGCTGCTTTCACATCCATTTGATATAGCTTCATGTTGAGTATACATGCTAGGCTGATAAGCATACATATTGACTCCAGTCGTGCTACTGCTGCAAATGTTTCTTCAAAATCCACTCCTTCTACTTGTGTGTAACCCTGAGCCACCAGTCTTGCCTTGTTTCTTATGACATTTCCTTCTTCATCTGTTTTGTTTCTATAGATCCACTTTGTGCCTATCACATTCACCCTGTCTGGTTTTGGTACTAGTTCCCAAACTTGATTTCTTTCAAATTGTTCTAGTTCTTCATGCATTGCATTTATCCATGCTTCAACAGTAAGGGCTTCCTTGACATTTTTGGGTTCTGATGTTGACGTATAGTAAGCCTTGGTTATTTCAAGGAAGTTTATGGTCTTCTTTCTGGTCTTGATTCCTTCAGTTGGTGATCCGATGACATTCTCCAGGGGATGATTTTTCTAAATGTGTGTGGGTACAGTTAGACCTGGCAAAACAAAACCAGAACCGATTACCCGAACCAAAATATCCGAAACCGAAATGACACGAAAAATGAAGATCTGATCTATAACCGAATCCCGAAATGATCCGAATCAAACCAAAACCGAACTAAATAATTCATATCCGAATTAAATTCGAAACCGATAATATATGAACCGATTCAACCCGAAACCGATTAGATCCGAAACTGATAATACCTGAATCCGATAAAACCCGAAATCGATTAGATTCGAAACTGATAATATCCGAACTCGATTAGAACTAAAATCGATAATTCGGAACTATTTTTTCCTTTCTATAAGCATATCATATTTTTAAATTTTTACTTTTAATTTACCATTTGAACTAATTACATTACTTGCTCATTCCCTCATAAAATGGATTATCTTCTTGAAAAAAAAAGTATAAAATTTCATGCCTTAAATTTATTATACGTCGAAATTAAAGATAATTAAGTTATACATATAAATGATAACGAACAAACAAATAAAATTTCCGTAATTTTTAAATAGTGAAGTGTGATATCCTTTTTGGGACGAAAGGATAATATGATGAATTGTATGGAATAACTAGATTTTATCCTAATTTCATCCCATTACAATAAATTTTATTGATTTGAGATTTAATTTGATTAGTTTCATACCAATTCACTCAATATTAGGCAATAAAATTAGGCTAGTGATAGCATTTTGAAAAGACTCTCTAGCGGCATCATTTAGTTTTATCATTTTTAAATTTGATCTACACCATTACATTTAGGTGTAAAATTAATTATATTTGACTCTATTAAATTTCATTTTATCTATTTTTAACCAAATACACTCAATAATTTATAAATTTTGCTCTCAATTGAATAAAATTCACTTAATTTCACCCAATTTTACTAAATTTTTACCAAATTCTATTTAAATGGAACATAACACTATTTAAATTTATCTTTTATCTTTTCATTTATAAACATAAGTATATTAGTAGATGTGAGAAAAATTTGATATTTCAAAACTAAATTTTAGAATCAATTTAATTATATTAAATTTATATCATAATTAAATATATATATTTTCATTTTGTAGTCCAAATTTGTAAAATATGACTAAAAAGCCAAAAAAGGAAGATTATTTAGGGTAGAGATATTATATTTAGAAAAAAATATAAAATAATATGAGGTATTGAATTGATGATAGATTGACAAATGTGATAAAACATAAAAAGAAACATGGATAGTTAAATTTTAATTAGAAAATAATATATATCCAAAATATATTTGATCCGAAACCGAAATATATCCAAACAGAACTAGACCCGAAACCGAAATATATTCGACTCAATTTGTATCCGAACTGAAATCTATCTAAACCGATTTATAACCGAACTGTATCTAAACCGACTCAAAACCAAATTGAAAAATGTATAGAACCGAATCAAATCCGAACTGAAATTTAACCGATCCGATCCGAACCAAACCGATTATAACATATAACCGAAAGATATCCGAACCGAAAAAATCCAACCCGAAACCGATCCGGTTGACCCGATTGCCACCTCTAGGTACAGTGGATGTCTCTGGTTCTTTCTCTTCAACTTCAGCTTGTTGTATTTCTGCTGGCTAGATTTCTTAGTCTGATTCAAATGTTGATGGGTCAATTGCTAGATTATCGTCTGAGTCATCCTGGCCCTTTTTCTCCACACAATCATCAACAATTACATTTGTAGACTCCTTGACTGTTTTGGTTCTTTTGTTGTAAACTCGGTAGGATTTACTGTTTAGAGAGTACCCCACAAAGATGGCTTCATCGCTTTTGGGATCAAATTTTCTTTTCTGCTCACGGTCTCTTAGAACAAAGCATCTAGCTCCAAAAATATGGAAGTGGGCAATGTTGGGTGCTCTTCTCTTCCAAAGTTCATAGGGTGTTGATTTTGTTCCACTTCTAGCCACAGATTTTTAGGTAGTTCGAAGGTATTTATCATTGTTCGTGCCATTTCCTGTACATGCCTATTTTTCCTTTCAGCTACTCTGTTTTGTTGTGGTGTCTTTGGTGCAGAGAACTCATGCCATATCCCCTGTTGGTCACAATATTCTTCAAACAGTTTATTTTCAAACTCACCTCCATGGTCACTTTGTATTCAGATGACTCCTTTTATTTTTAGTTGCTTCTTATTCTGTACTTTGTTGCATAGGGCTGCAAAGGCTTCTAGTGCATCATCATTGTGTTTCAGGAAACTCACCCAGGTGTACCTTGTAAAGTCATCTACTACCATAAGCACAAATCTTTTTCCTCCTATAATTTTAGTCTTCATAGGTCCGAACAGATCAAGATGAAGTAATTCAAGTGGTTGCTGGTTGTTCTGAAGGCTTTCTTTGGATGACTTGAATGGGCCTGTTTACCAAGTTGGCATAGTTTGCATACCTCGTCTTTGATTTTTGTGATTTTTGGTAGACCTCTCACAGCTCCTGAATTTCATAAAGTTTGCAGATCTTTGTAGTTGATGTGCCCTAATATGTAATGCCAAAGTCTGGCATCCTTCTCACTTGTTGAATAGCACAGGATGTTAGGGCTCACCCTATAGTAGTTGTCTGTGGTTCTGTCACCTTCTAGCACAACCAACTTATTTTTGTCTTTTACGCGACATTTTTGTTGAGTGAATGTCACTTCTAGACCTTGATCGCATATCTGACTAATGCTTAGGAGATTTACTTGCAATCCTTTGACTAGCCAAACATTCTTTATAGGTGGGAGTCAAGTGACATTTAGTGTTCCGCATCCAATGATTTGTCCATGCGCTCCTCCTCCAAATCTGACATTGCCTCCCTCTATCTCCTGTATGTTTTTCAGATTTTTATTATCTCCAATCATGTGATGTGAGCACCCACTATCAAGCAGCCATTGCTCTGGTGTGACGCACATGCATGAGTTTGCATGTGATGCCACATGCTTTTGTACCCATATTTGCTTGACTCTTGGACTTGTCTGTCTTCCCTTTTTGATTTTGTGACACATTTTTCTAATGTGTCCCCACTCTTTACATCGATAACACCTGTAATTTGCATAAGGATTTCTTGAGTACTTGTTGTACCTCTGATCCCTTTTGTGGTGTAGCAACTGTTGCTTGTGCGGCTTTGACTGGCAGGCTGTCTGCCTTCTCCCTGGTGTCATTTCGGTTGATGAAGAGGTCCAATGGTGTTTTGGTTAACTCATCTTTTGGATAACCCAGCCCAGTCCTGTCTCCATGCAGTTTCGAAATATCAACTTGATGCTCAATAGCCTTTTCCTCTGTACTTAGCATCCATTCCTGTGAGATTCATGCTCCTGCTTTTTTCATCCATTTCTGATAATTTATGTGATGATTTAGTTCATGCCTTAGGTTTGCATTTTCTGTTTCTTTTTGTTTCAGCTCATGTTGCAACTTTTCAACAGCTTGTTCACAGATTTGCAGTTTAGTTTTGAGAAGAAGATTTTCAGATACATTCTTCTTGGTTATATCAAGGAGGTCACTCCATTTTTCTTAAAGTGTTTTTAGTTGCTCTTCAGAATCTTCCTGTTCTTCTAATGTAACAAAAGCACAATTACTTTCTCCACCAGTATCTCCGGTGTTTGGTTCCTCATCACTCCATGTTGAAGCAAACGCCTGCCTTTTCTTCTTCATGTTATTTGCACATTTAGTTTGCCTGTGACCAAATCCACCACACTCGAAGCACTATGGTCCCTTTCTCTTTGTTTATTAAGGTTTCATCTTGAACTCCTTCTCTTTCATTACTCTGGATTGGGAGCATCTCTGTGGATTTGGTATGGATGCTTGTTTCCCTTTTCTTTGTAGCCACCTTTTTGTAAACTGTTTGGTGACCAGTGATAGCTATTCTTGAAAGTCATCATCTGATATGACCTCATCTTCTAGGTCAAGATCGCCCACCTGAAATGTTGTTTGATTTTCAACCTTCTTCTTCCTTTGTTCTTCTGACATGGCCAACTCAATAGTTTCAAGATTTCCCATGAGTTGATCCAGTGTCATCCTTTTCAGGTCATGAGCTTGACGTATTGCCTTGGCATCAACTGAATAGCTTTCTGGTAGGGCACGCAGTACCTTTAGAACAAGATTATCTTCTTCAAAAGGTCTCCCAAGTCGTTCTGCTTCATTTGCCAGGTATCTCACTCTGCCATGAAATTCAGTGATGCTTTCCTTGTCTTCCATTCGAAGATTTTCAAATCTGGTCATGAGAATTTGATATTTGGCTGTCTTGACTCTTTCATCTCCCTCATGAGTTGTCTCAAGAATCTTCCATGCCTTCCTTGCTTTAGTGCAATTAGCAATGATTCTGTATTGAGAACTATCCACAGCTCCAAACAAGGCATTTAGGGCCTTGTCATTGCATTGAGCAGCTGCTGCTTCTTCTTTTGAATATTCCTCAAATGTCTTGGGAATTTTAGCGTCTGATCCTTCAACAACCTTTGTAGGTGTCTGCCAGCACGTTTAAACGCTTCTCCAGACTCTTCTACCTTGAGATTTAAGAAAAGCCTTCGTGCGCCCCTTCCAGAAATTGTAATTTGGTCCCCTTAGCAGCGGTGGTTGTTGAACATTTGCTCCTTCATCCATATCTCCCATGTTTGATCTTTTAAAGCTAGTAACTTAAGCTTTAACGGCTCTCATACCAATTGAAAGTTTCACTACTCCCAGCGTACAACCTGTAAAAGTCTAGAGCTCTGCAGGTTGTGACAAAGGATGTTGTAGCACTGATTAAAACTAAATTATCAGAGTGCTACACCAACTTAACTATCACTTATATAAACAATTAAGAACAGAGAGAAGCAGCACACAACACACAAACTGTTTACGCAGTTTGCAGCAAATTCTCCTACGTCTGCGAGGCCCACATGAGTGTAACAACCTTCCCACTGTATCAAATAAGAGTTTACACCCTCAATGTCAATAGACTCGATCTACTCATTGATCTAAACTCTACAACTCAATGGGAATGCAACAAACTTGGTTTATGCATGCATGCCGCGACTCAAACACTTATAAACTTATCTGTGACGTGTTCCTGGCCTACGCTCCAGTACTTCTCAGTTCAACTGTCTGGAACACACGTTAATCTTCCTGCAGAAGCATTCTTCTGCAGTCCAGCGATAATCAATCCTTCGATTTGCTTGGCTGTGATTCTTTGTTCTATGAAACTTTCTCTTCACGGATTTTCTCAGAGTATGTGCACGCTGGTAGAGTCCTGGTACAATTCTGACTACAAAGCATAGTTATCCAGTAGAGTCCTTGATGTGATCTCCCTCCAATTTTGCATAGTTATCCAGTAGAGTCCTTGGTGTGATCTCCCTCCAATTTCGCACATGTCCATACTTCAACGAATGTTAGAGTTTGTAGTGTATAAGGTAACGGCTAATTTCAGAGTCCTCCTTTGGCTTGGTAAGAAACAGTCCCAGATTCACTTGGCCTATGAGGGTGACGGACAGGATGCTACAGTTCTACGAACCACACACAGCTAGGGCAAAGATAAATACTATAAACTACTGCACATGGTTTTTGTCAAAAATAAAGCCAACACCAGAATGATACTAAGACACAACAGGGGAACCAACAGAACATGTGGCAAAGAACCTTAGGTGTGGCGTGCGGCGGCGTCAAGTGTAGAGCCACCAATTGACAATTGGACCTGCTGCTAGATTTTCACAGCGATGCATGGAGGGGTACCATATATGAAGATGGGCACATCGGTTCATGCATGATTCATTGCGAAGGAAGAACAATGAAATTCAGACCAACAAAATGACAAACAAAGGTAACGGTGACGCCACATTCATTGAGCAGACCACTGACGACGACAAAGACGGTGAAATGAACATTACATTGCTTCAGAATGAGCAAAATGTTGTTAGAGATTGAACACTACATTGTATCAGAATGAAAACTATGTTATGCAGACTTTAAGTCAACACTTCGTTGTTTTAGAATGAACACTATGTTTGTAATTGAATATTATAATCATAATGAACAAATGCGTGAAAATGAACATTAGGTTGCTTCAGAATGAACACTACATTGATTCAAAATGAACATTTACAGGGTGTACGTAACTTTAGGTACACCCGGTTGTATGGTATTGAGTATCCCTTCTTCTGCTTATGTAGAGGATTAGAAGAGCATACCAAACTATAGTCCATGATTCTCCTATATTATTTGAATTCAATCCTAATAGCTTACCATAGGTGTGTATCTAGGACGATAGTGTATCTAATTGGCTTTGAGCATTAAATTCTAAGTTAGGTCTTGTCGTAATCATGACATACATTAACTAGCCAAATAGCCTTTTAGTATTAAACGAGGGTGTAACTTTACCTTTGCTAGATAAAAATTTTATGTAGGATCCATAGGGGTGCTTACCATCTAACAATTTCAACAACTAAATTTCTTCAATACTTCCCCAATGTGATGAGACTGTGTGATGGATATCCCGTTATTCCTACATTTAGTCTTAATGCTTAGGATTACGTCCGCGTCACCTATATCCTTCATGGAGAATTTAGATAACAAAACTTCTTATTTTTATTGACTTCATAGGATTTACTTGAATGGAATAGAGGCATGTTATGCCATAAGAATAGAAATGTTAGAGACATGTGGTACTTGCTGAGTCCAATGGCTATTTGGGTATAAATGTGCGCACGGAGATCTATGAACTATCATTCCAATAGGGATAGGGATCTCACCCACCCAACGAGGAACTCCCGAGTTGGTTGAGCTTGACCTTCGTTCCGAAAGGGAAGGTCATGACTCAAATTAAGCAAGTCAGGGTTAGTGTAAGCTTTAACCTAGAATATGTTATGAGCTAAGTATGTAAGTTATATGACTAAAGTAATGAGAGCATAATATCTTTTATTATTGATAATATTTGTGGATTGAATTGTTATGTTGATAATCGTGATGTAGTTGTGTGCATGATATCGTATGATGTTATGAACTAGTAAATTGTTTATATGTATAAATGATGTTTTCTCACTTAGGTTTCCATCATGAGCGTGTAGCATTTATTCTTTTGCTCCACGTAGGTAATCAAGATGATGAACCTGGAACCAATCCTGGTGGCGATGAGCTGAGGATGAGGAGATGTGTGTGGATATGTTTGAAGATTTTGAATTCTTAACTACTTCCTCCGTCCCATATTGTTTGGGAAATTTTGAAGGATGTGCGAAATTTCATTTTTTAAAAAATTGTTTTATTTAGAAATTGGTAAAGAAATAAAAAATAAAAATTATACCGTTCGAAAGTACAAAAAGATTATATATAGGAGTATAATGTTAGTATAGTTCTGAGATTGAGATATCACAAAATATATATATAAATCTCCTTGAATATGAGTAAAAAAAATTGAAAGTCCCAAAGTATGAGTACTAAGTCTTTTAAAATAAAAAATAAGAGTATAATGTTAGTATGATATAAGAATACCTGTTGGCACTGTGATGAAAAGGTGATGACAGTGTACAATCGTCGACCATCCGCGGCGGCACTCTGGTGGCCAGTAGAGGTGATAATGTGGCAGTTACAATGTGATAATGTAATGAGTATGACAGTGCAATAATGACATTGTGAACTCTTATTTTGGTCTTAAAAAATTTAGGAATATTATTTTAATATTTTCATAGTTTTTTACTTTGGGAGTTCACACACACACACACACACACAGATATAGCTATGAGAAACAGTTATCTTGTCTCGTATGTATTAATTACTCCATTTGTCCTATTTTAAATTGTCAATTTTCCTTTTTTCTCTGTATCAAAATAAGTTGCTTGTTTCTTTTTATCGTAAATTTTTAAGAGTAAAATATTTTAACTACCCCTAAAATAAGTCATTCTTCTCTACCTTATCTTCTCATTTGGCAATTTTGTTAAATCAACTCTATTTTTTCTCCTTAAATATCGCTCAAAGTCAAAACGGACAATTTAAAACAGAACAGATGGAATATGATATATTATGACGTCAATATTATCATAATATTATAATCAAAACATCATAATTCTAATATATGCCACCAGAGAGATCTAAATCTATAAAAACTATGTTTAGATACACGAGAAATGTAAATAATCTTCACGGTCTATTATTTATGATGAGCATAACATATAATCATAATATATTCATCATATGATATGATTGGCGGGCACATAAACTCAGCAGAATATTCATAATTGGGATTTGAACGATTCAGAAAACAAAACTGTACATTTATTTTTAAATGTGCATAGCTGGCCTTCAAGCCAACATGCATCACTAAGAACAAAAAATATAAAATGACCACATAACAACCTAGAATATATGTATATTTGTGTCTATATATAAAATAAAAAAACATAGAAACCCCAATCATCTCCGTGAAGTTCTCTTTCAATATAATGAGAACTATGGATACAGACGGGTAAGGCGTGGTCTTGAACGAAGAAATCGAATCTCAGGCAAGCTACAATTCAGGAAACCACAATCTGTCTGTTGCTGCTTCCTTGCTGCTGCTGTTTCTGGAGAAAGTCTCTCTGCCAAGCTGTACTGCTACTAGTGGTAGAGTTTTCTTCGTCTTGCATAAGGTAACCATCGACCTGTGCAGCCGCTTGTCGCCCCTCTGAGATGGCCCACACTACAAGGGACTGACCTCTCCGGCAGTCTCCAGCAGCAAACACCCCTTCCACATTGGTGGAGAAGCGTCCGTATTCGGCCTTTAAATTCGACCTGTTATCTCTCTCCAGGCCCAGTTTGTCAGCTATGGTCTGCTCAAGCACATGGAACAAATTGTGAGTTTATTAGTTCCTCACACACAAAGGCAGTAATTTTTTTTACTATTGCAAATCAATTTAATGTGACGCTTACAGATTCGGGACCAAGGAACCCCATCGCAAGCAACACTAGATCTGCCTCAATGATTTCCTCAGAACCTTCTATTTCCTTGCATTGCAATTTCCCTGTGGCATCCTTCTCCCATTCAAGATGAACCACTTCAAGACCTTTCACCACTCCATTTTCGTCACCAATAAAACGCTTTGTTAGCACCTCATAGGTCCTTGGATCCTTGCCGAATTTTGTGGCAGCCTCTTGATGTCCATAATCAACTCGAAATACACGAGGCCACTGTCAATCGCACATGACTATTAATATTTACATACGAAAGAACTATTCCCATCTATCATCAGGCATTGATCAATAATGAATGAATGATATTGGGAAAAAACTAGTAAAATCCCATGAAAATAGGGTCTAGGTACACCCTTCTTGACAAGGTAGAGACTGTTTTAAAGAGACCCCCGGCTTGAACACATGATAAACACACATTATCACGAACTAAGGAAGAACATATTCTCAATAAGATCCTGATGTCGTAGATAATGTTTAATCATCTCCTTCTAATTCTTTCTAAGTCTACTTCTACCCCTTCTCGCATTCACTACAACAAGCCTCTCTTATCTCCTCACCCGGCCACTGCAATTCTTTTTCTCATGAGCCCAAGCTACCTCATTTGTGTCCATCATATTGGAAAAGTGGATGTTTAAGAATTAACATTATAAAAAAGAACTAAATAAAGACGTCATTTGTTCCTTAAAAAACAACTTTCCTTTTTGTCTGCCCCAAGACAAACAATGTAGTTTACTCCGTATAATACTTTACCCTTCAAAATAACTATACAAATTTGAACCTGACATACTCCCTCTGCACCAATTCTGACTACAAACTGGGAGTTACGAGGCAAAATCCTGTCTTTTGAAATCATTTTGTTCACAAATTGGTACATCAATAAAGAATAAAAGTTACATATTAAGACACTGCATCAATAGTTCTACAAAATAAGAGGTGACAAGAATATTTTATTTTATCAAACAATAAATGAACACAAATAAACAAAAGTTGTCAAGTGAGAAAAAAATTGTTATCAATTTTTGGATGGAGGGAGTAGTAATTTTAAATTTCATTTTTCTTAAACTTTGTGTCTGTTATGAAGAAAGAGTTGCAATCACAAGAAATTTAGAGATTAAGAATTGCAATCACATCCCTTTCGCCTGCACCCTTCCAGTTAGTGAAAACACTACATGATCTATCCCTTTTTAAAAGGCATGTGAAGGTAGCAGTGTCTTAAAATGCTAGCATTTCAAGTAAAAACAAGCAGGAACAACATAAAACTTGGAAGGCATGACCACACCTGTGGCCAAGGATTGCCAGTAGCCCTAGTCTTCGGAGGCTGTGGGAGAAGCTCTAGGTTAACTACACGGCTACAGCCATGTCGAATAGAAGTCCCTATGCAATCCGTGCCAGTGTCACCACCCCCAATAACTACCACCTTCTTGTCCTTTGCAGAAATGTAATTACCATCCTCTAGATTGCTATCAAGCAAGCTTTTAGTATTAGCATGTAGGAACTCCATGGCAAAATGGACTCCAGACAGTTCACGTCCAGGAACAGGAAGGTCCCTGCCAATTTAATCCATCAGTCTCATATACATAAGAAGTTAAATAACGCAATCATTCACTTTACCAAAAATGTAAGACACTTAGAAATAATAAACATGAAGCAGACTTTTATAAGTATATCCAGAGACAAATACTTAGAAAGTCAACCACATTACATACCTTGGTTTTGTCGATCCTATGGCCAAAAGAATTGCTTCATGCTCCTCTCGAAGCCGATCAAGGGAGAACAAAGGATCTTTCCCAACATTAGCATTAACTACAAAGTTAATGCCTTCCTTTTCCAACAGATCCACTCGTCTCTGGACTATATCAGTTTTGTCGGCCTTCATGTTGGGTACTCCATACATCATAAGACCACCAATTCGATCAGCGCGCTCAAAAACTGTCACTGTGTGACCCTTCTTGTTCAACTGATCAGCAGCAGCCAGACCAGCTGGTCCGCTTCCGACCACAGCAACTCGTTTTCTGTAACACAAAATGTTGTTGTTATTATTATTATAATAATTATTATTATTATAAACTTGGGAATATTACACAATTACAAAATCCATTAGAATACACAACTCAAAGGGTTATAGAAAAAAGCACGATGAAAGTGAATAAGGGGAACCAACTACAAAAAGAATAAGCAGAGCAGGGTCATAAATGATCAAGGGGAAAAGGGAGACCACATAGCCTACCCTGTTCTCTTGCTAGGAGGTCGCGGCACCATCCATCCTTCCGCAAAAGCTTTGTCAATGATGGCACATTCAATGCTTTTAATAGAGACAGGGTTTTCAATAATACCAAGTACACAAGACCCCTCACAGGGTGCTGGGCACA